GGTTGTGGATTACAGTAGACTTGACACATACATTTTTGGGCATTTTGAACCCCACAATATGTCCGCAATGAAAGAAACTGTCAGTAGAATCGAATTCCCCCTCGAATAAATTTAGTGACTTCCAACCTCTATGAAGGCTTGCTTTCGTCTGTCGATAATTCTGCACAAACAGCGTTTTTGTTTCGGTAGCTCCTGGGTACACAATATCAGGTAGCCCAATCCTTTTAGACAATCAACAGTTACGATGCTTTGGAGATTAAAAAACCAAAACTTACAAAATAAGTATGAACGCTATTCTTGAGGAGCTTGGAGAGGCAAATACTGCACTAAAAAGTGGCACAGACCAAGGGTTGAAACATACAAAGTAGACTGCTATGTCTGAGAATTGAAATATCAAATAACCGCATAACTCAGATCAATGGCCAACGGATGAACGACGAAGTAAACTAAAATATGTAATTAGCCACTCGAATTTGCAGCATTCAGCTAAGCATGGCGTACAATCTCCATAAGCCTGGGACAATAAGTAACAGATGTGAACTTATGAACGATAATTATAATATATACCAGTGTACCTTGTACCGAATGGCGAGTTGGATCAAAAGGGGCATGTATTCTCTTAACTCCTTCCACCGAATATCTGGATCTGGCAAAAGCACGCCTGGATCACTGGAATGCTGAACAGCCATAAAGTGACGATTTGCAGTGGAGATGGCAAGGAGAAGGAGATCCGAGGCAGCACGACCTTCATTTCCACCCTTGTCAGCGCCGACTTCCCCTCCACCACCACGTTCGGATAAGGATGGAGCAGATGCAGTGCTCCCAAAAGTGTCAGTGGACTTGACCACAACACTGCAATCCGGCCCAATAGCGCCAATGAGGCGGTGGATATAAGCACGGACACCGGCACAAGCCGCTGCTCTACCTGGCGTCCCCACTATGGGCGGCAACAGCGTCAGACTGCCCACCAGCACATCAAGTATTTCCATCAATATATGAACGTACTCCGGCTCTGGTGAACTCTGTGGGGCCATTACGCGTGTTGTTCGACTAAGTGGAACGGAAAACGCAGATAGCTGAGTTAATGACGAAGCCCAACGTTTGACAAACGTGTAAAATTATCATGATCAAAACAAACGGTTGTAAATTTTGGGATTTTGCTTGCTGCCTAAAACATGTTATAGTTGATTGCTACAAGTTTCAATGAAAATAGTGGGTGATGTTGACTTGTTTTTCGACGTGAAGCAATAGATAGAATCCGATCTGTAACCATAGGCAAAAGAAATCGCCACATTTGTCCCATTCAAGTGATAAATACGGCTTGACTTATAAGACCGTTCTGTTCAAAAACGCAGTGTCTGATAGCTTTGCACCAAGTCTAAATAATCAATGAGGATTACGTAATGAGATCGGCCGTCTGCTTGACAACAGCGCCACGAGCTTCAGCCATGTCGGGAACCTTCTCCTGTGCTAGGAGGCGCATCATTTGAGGAAATTGAAGCAGAGTAGGCTGCAGAAGCATCGCAAAGAGACGCACCGCCTCCCGGACTCCCCCACTTGCACTGTCGGATGAACGTGAGGAGATGAGGTGGGCGCATGACTCATATAGGAAACCTTGCTCAGTTATGGAGAAAAGCCTAGATGAGCCCGTTGCACTAGCTATATAGAAAAACAAAATCAACAACTTCAGTTAATAAAGGTTGACTTGCCTCTGTGTATTTTGGCACTCGAAAACCATCAGTAGTAATTAAAAATGGGCTGGGCGCCCAGATGTTAGCATATTTGCATGGTTTCAGAGACGTTGTCACAAGTCCTGATCTTGAAACAAAAATTTAAGACACCAACCAGTGGGTCGTAGTATCATCAATCGTATTTACTTCAGCAGTATTTTCTAAGATCATTGCTGTCCCAAACCACAAGACTTCACGGTGTACTCGAAGAGAATATACTGAGAACACATGATAAAAAACGTACCCCCATTAAGAAGTATCGAGGACGGCTTGGAAAGACCGTTAAGATTTTTTAAACCGGGCACCTCTGGGGTGGGATCAAGGGGTAGGAGATCCTCCAGTTGCTGTAGAATCTGCTCAGTATGTGGTGCGAATAGTGACCTTAAATAGTGAAAACCATTTATCCATAGTCTCCAACACTAGGTTCAAGTGTTAGCAGACAGAAGGAATAACAGTAACAATAATAATAAAGCGTGCTTTGGTATTAAAAATTGAGGGTGCCTGTGCGGTTGGACAGAGAACAAAATTTCTCAAATGGGTTAAGAAGGTATTCGCACAAATCGCTTGTGAATTCCAAAAATTAAAAGTAAAAAGTAGTACCCATTCTATGAATCCAGCGGTCACAGGGAGGTCAAGGTATTCTAATCTAATACTACGGTAAATAATTAAAATGGAAGGAATGATGGAGAGATGTTCGCGAAAAGTGGCCTAACTGAACATGAGGGCCACAGAGAAAATCCGCACATGAAATTGGTGACTATTTTGAAATTGCTTTCTAAGCTAGTGGCAACTTGGCTTCAAAGGTTTATATATGATTAACAGACCAAACTCGTCGATTTCAAAATATAAAACACATCCAATCGCCTCAAACTCAGGAGTGGTAAAGCACTTTAGGAGTGATGCAGGCCAAGGTTTTCGGATTGCAATGAGTTTAACTTGCCGGCATAAAAGTCCGACCTCATTTGAAAGCATGGTGGTGTGGGTTTTACAACGCCTGCACACTATAATACGCATGCATGTGAGTTTATACAAAACGCGTGGCGCAGGCGCTGCCAGATCAGAAAAATTGGATTAGTCACGCGTCTATCCGCAAAACCGAAAATCACAGTACAAACTACCATCATTTCCATCACCAACAGTCGACATTTTGCTATCAGAAACAGCAGACAAAGTAACAAAAATTACAAAAACTATCTTGACAACGTAATGAACCTAATACCCAAATGAACGCACTTATGTGATTTGATAAGACGATTGAAAAGATAGGCACATCGGGACCGAACCTTGACGTTTGAGTTTCGGAGACCGCGTTCATCCAAGAACGCACCCTGAAATAAACGGAAGTGGATTAAAAATGGCAGAAAAACAAAGGGGACACGTCTCAGAGCAAAAACAATAGAATTACCAAAACGTCGAAGAGAATCTTGGGTGATGCGTTGAAAAATTTGTCGTAGCGAGCGACTATTTCGAAAAAGTTTAACTGTATAGGGTAATAAGCGATGGTAACGACATTGCTGCAACAAATTGTGGTCATCAATTCACTCATTTTGGCACTGTACATGTAGCCATTAGCGAAGTGGTCATTTCTAGGGGCCCTGTAGAATTCACCGATAGCAAAAAAGAGGTGGAGACAAGACTCCAATCGACCGAGAATCGCATCATCAACTTCCTCCACTCGCATACTAGGAGGGAGTTGAAGAAGTGTATGCTGAAGAAGGGACTGAATACCATCTAATACCAGACCACCGTCAATACGAGCAATACAACGGACAAGTGAAAGGTATTCCTGTCGGTCGCTCTCAAATCTCTCCTACAATGTGATAGCAGTGACAATAACTTGATTTTGTACCGGCTGATCAGGAGGTGATCTCAACTTACAATGTCCTCAGATGTTCCATCTGCGGGGTAAGCCATCTTTTTCATGAGAACACTGAGAAGTTGCTGAAGTTTAAAGAGGCGATCCTCCGTTAGTTCAAGCGAGACTTTGGTTTTTGCAGCACCATTGGACAGACTTGGTTTCCCTTGAGTCTTTTCCTTCAGCAGCTCCAAATAATCCTCAACAAACATCATGACGGCCAAACCCACGTCGTTGTCCTCATAGGCGAGTAGGTTTATAGAAATATTTATAGTTATTTCTAGTTTTTCTAAACATTCCTCGTACGCAGCTCGCCAGGTTGAGGGACCTTGGTTAGAATTAGTGGAAAGGTCGGAAGCCATCAGCTCTCTAGAATAAGTAAAACGGTTAGTAAAATGAAGTGACGAGTAACGATAAAAGCGCTACTCACTTGAATGAGATGGTAAGATGATAACCTATGGTTCCAATGCAGTTAGAGAACTCTTGAAGGAAGCCTAGGAAATCTTCCGAATCCCTTTCATCGCAATTGCTGTTCAAATTTGGATTCGACGAGACATGCTTGAGGAGCCTAGCAGTGCTGGGGAAATTAATCAGTGGTTCCAAAAGCTGAGGCCACAAGCCAAGAATAAGGGATAGTTTGTCGGGAAACGCAGGCATTCCCTTAGCGACAAGTCCTTTTATTAGGAAGCATATACTTTCGCAAACTGCTGGTTCGGTGGATAGGACAAGTGAATGAAGGATGCCAATAAACTGTTCGTTTGCTACCAATTTTATGTCGATCCACAAAACATACAGCCCAAGAACTTTCAGACAAAGAGAAATGAGCCCCAATTCTCGAGCGTTATCGACTCGTAGATTTTTCTTAAAGAAAAGAACAAGCATAAAAAAGAGAAACGCATGGATCAATTCGTAAGGGAACGTACCAAAATCAACGCGAGCATTTCAACAATTTGAGGCAAACAATTAATTCTCATAGAATCCTTTATCTCGGAAGTCCGAAGAAATTGCTCGTCAGTAAGATTGAGACTGCGACTGAATACCATAGAATCCAACTCTTGAAGAACTTCCAAGAAAACCTCTAATAGGTTCAGGAGGATAGGAGTGGACTGCGAAAGTGGAGGGCACATTTGCTGCGCTAATGAAGAATTAATCCTTTGATTCTGACCTACCGCTGACTTCTGAGATGAGGCTTAAAAACTCATCAAAAAGAGTTGGCCAGTCCTTAGGATAGTACCGCATTACCGCCAAGCTCAAAGATTGAGCCACTTTTTTTCTTAAAATAGCAGACTGAATTCGACCACCAATGCAGTTCACGTAGATCTTAACCCAGCTTCGCAAAAAATCCGACATTTTCTGCACCTCAATAGCCGAGACTGGATGTGAAGATATCCTAAGGGGCGCTATTGACACAAATTCTGTGCTTACGGATGCTTGAGACAGTTTTCAATGCAACAACAACACGCAAACAGGGCAGCAGAATTCTGCAGGTTTGTGATTTGCTGTTGGGAAGAACAGACTTCAAGTTCAGATAGAACAAAATTTGCACAAATCTCCCAGTCGCCATTTGAACTCAACTGATCAATCATGCTAACCAGTTTCTCGTGTTGTTCCTTGGATGTACTCCCAAAAGATACATCAACAGCACGCAGACTTGCAAGAAAGTCACGCATTTTCCTCACTTAACCCGAAACCACCTAGGAGTAGACAAGCACGCAACTCATACGCAAATGTGCGATTTCAATGTAGTATCTGCTAAAACAATTAATAAAACAAAGCACAGCAATCTCTATAAATTTAGTTATAAATAGGCTAAAATTGCTTTAAATATATTTAAACTCATAATTATGTTAATTTTGTTAAACAAATTCTGCTATTTATAAGTAATGTTTATCAATATTTAAATATCTATAAAGACTTAGAATGCTTAGAATGTTGAAGGCCTTGTAATACCTTTTCATGCGATTCATTAATTTTAATTATTACTATAAGGTTTGTTTGGTTGTTGTACGCGTCGAGTGGGCTTCGGTCCCCGCTTAGGAATAATCCCGCTGTTCAGCTCCCCTTAATGCCTGTGATATATTCCAGCTTGTTTAAGTGGATTTTGATAGGTGAGAGGCGAGAACCAATTGGGAACGTGGATCACGTGCATGAAGTCGGCGAAGAGCCTCCCTCCGACTGATATCTCTTACCT